AATTAAATTGGAAAAATTGTTTCAGCTTGCCATTTTAAGAATTCAGTTCGGCCAAAAGTTTTTTACATATGCATACACATATATACATACACGTAAACTTAGGACAATTGGGTTAAGGAAAACAGACATGGGAGGCAAAGCTAGCCGCGGGGAAGAGATAGGAGAAAGTAGGATATGTACTGAAAAACAGTAAGTTCCTCAGACAGTTGGGTTAGAGCTTCATACAGGGAAGGAGACAGAAATAAAAGGAAAAGTTGGGGCCCAGTGACCAAAACCTAAACGCCCAGCTCAAAAACATTCAGGCTGCTCTCTAGCAATTCATAATAAAACAGTTGTGAATCAGACCACATCCTTTAGTGATGCTGAAATAGGGGACATAGCATTGCCCAGCCCTAGAGAGCAGTCTGTTCCTCTCAATGAATAAATATTTGAATTGTGAATTCCTGTTTTCAGGGGAATGTCTTGCAATTATGTATGTCTGTTAGAATGCCTGGGAAGTGTTTTCTTTTCTCAGATCCAGCCATTTAATATTTATTGCTTGTTTACAACTATATTCTGAATCTGATTTTAGGAGAATATAGCTAATAAAACAAGAGTGTTTATTTAGTTTTCTTTCTAGACAATGACACATGTATGCGTATACTGTGGAGGGAGTAAAGCAAATGAACTGGTGTTAATCTACCATCCGGTATATAAGCAGTCTTAGACATGTTGTCTCATTCAGTCCTCACAAGCAGTTCTTACAAAGCAGTATTGGTTATCTTCTTTTATATGCAAAGAAAATTGAGGCTTAAAGGAGTCAAGTCCAAGTCACATAGCTAGTCGTTGTCAAAGGGGAGATCCAAATATGGATCTGTCTACTTGTATGAGAGCTGCCAGTTATTCTATAGCATTGTTCTTCGAAGCTTTCAAAAGTGTACAGTAAAGGAGTTGCTGTACTTTTCCCATATAGCAGCTTAAAGCTAGGAAGTAAAAGATGGTCAGGATGGAGAGCATTTGCAAGTGATTTTTGCTAGTATGCAAAAAATAGAACAGAAAATGGGCCAAAAGGAGGATCCCTTATAGCTGGGCAGAAATGTCTGTTAGAATATACAGGAAAGGATCACAGTGTCATAGGACTTGAGTGAATGTGAGCCCAGGGGAAGATTAGTAGCAGTGATTTTATCAGAAGTGAGTCATCTGACAGCTCTAATCAGAATCACCCCCTTTATTATAGCTGAGGTCATCCATGTGCTTTCTCTGATGTGCCTGTTGCAAGAAGAGATTGATTCCAGACAAGTGAAACATACCTGAAGATTCTGGCCCGAACATTTTAATTGACCTAACAAGAAAGTGAGCTTCAAATTTTTCGACTTGGTGATGGTGGTGGTAGTGTTAGAAGTACTTAACAGTCTGTATTTTCATCTATAGCATTACTTTCCAAACTAATTCCAAACCAGTTCCTAGAAGGGGAGGAAATTAAAAACATGCCTCCAGGAATCTTGAGGTATCACCTGAAGTGATCCAGAAGTAATTTTTTTTTTTTTCCCCGAAATCTCCTGTTGTCTCTTTAGGCAGAGCTTTTGTTCATTTCTGTATCTGTTTTAATTGAAAAATCAATGATTTTTACTGGTTAAGTATCTCCTTACTCCCACCCTAAGTCTCCCAAGTAGGATTGACAGTCTGGGAAGGTGGTGCTTGTGGTACTGTGACTTGGCAGTCCCCAGCCTCCTTATCCAGAGCAGGTGCCCAGTGTGAGCAGCACAGTCTCCCCAGGTCTCTGCTGTCGCACAAGTTCCTCTAGAGGCTTGGCATGCAGCTTGAGGGTTGGCCACCTGCCTGTTGACTTTGCCACACATCCTGACTCCCTTCTTTCCTTATTCCTCTGTCCTCTCAGGTATGGAGTCCCTATGTATTACACTGTCATGGTTTCTTTCTGTCACTTGATTGGATTGACTTTTTAAGAGTTTGGCCTCAATGTGTCCAGCAGTTTTATTTTTGGATTTTCTTTTTTATCTTCCCAGGGGAATGTAAACCAAATATATCTATGTGATTCTAGCAGGTACATATATTTTCCTTGTGCTGCTGCTTTACTTATTTTATTTTATTTTATTTATTTATTTATTTGTTTATTTATTTATTGCTTAATTTTATTTACGGCACAGTTGCAGTATGTATATGACCTGACAAATGGCAGACCTATCCTGAGTATTGTTTGTTGCCAGGCTTTTCTGGCACTGAGTCAACATTAAGGTCCAGTTTTGTGTGTGTGGAGCTGGGGCGGAAAAGAGCAAATTGTCATTTCTGTCTCTTGGACGGAAGGAAACTTCAGGCCAGCAGGTACGAAAACTGACTTGAGGTTGTGAATGAGTGCCAGCTTTATAGGTGTTCTATATATGTGTTTTCCAGTTATACCCAGTTGATTTCCAGTTTTTGTTACAGTCTTGGCAAGAGTTCCATGCTTTTTGGTAATTTAACAGCAGTGAGGATTTCCTCTGTAGTGTCAAGGCCAGGACTTGATCAGGTCTCTGGGGTTCCAGTCCCTATCGGTTTTTAGAAATGTTTTATGAAAGACTTCTAGTTTTCCCAGAACTAGGAGAATTTTATTATGTAGGTTGAGTTGTTTACAAAAAAGATAGCTTTAAAATTAGTTTTTTTTAAATCTTAAATTCAAGGAAAAAACAGTGGATTTTCTTAATTTCCAAATGTTGCTGGTTCCTATTTATTTATTTATTAAAAGATTTTATTTATTCATGAGAGACACATAGGGAGAGAGAGAGAGAGAGGGAGAGAGAGAGGCAGAGACACTGGCAGAGGGTGAAGCAGGCTCCATGCAGAAAGCCCGATGGGGACTCGATCCTGGGACTCCAGGGTCATGCCCTGGGCCGAAGGCAGGCGCTAAACTGCTGAGCCACCCAGGAATCCCCGCTGGTTCCTATTTTAAACAGGTTACAGATGTTTACTTCCTAAGAACAAAGAAGACTGAATCAGAGAAGATAGTGGCTAAGTTTTCATTTTTCTATTTATTTTTAGGGATAGTATTTTGCTCCTCCTTGTTGGAATATTATGCGAAGGTTGTGGGTGAGATAATCATACACTGTGGTTCTTAGTGGGCATTGTTGTGTCCCGTGAGGGTTCTTAAAAGCAGTAATGGATGTCCTCTAGCTCTTGTGTGTTTTTGAAGACCTAAGATTTTTTGTTAGAAGTCATTTTTTAAAATGTCAAATTCCTTTACTTTTGGCTGGAGTTTAATGACTCTGACTAGAAGCCCTGGTTGGCAGCAGGTGGGCATGACAAATTAATTATTCTTGAAATTTGTTATTTGTAGACAGAGTTCAGGAGGAGAGAAAACAATCAAGTGAATGGTCTAGAAGGCTCCTCATACTGGGAGTCCGAGACTGTGCTGCAGTGGTGGAGGTGTCCACCAGGTGGCATCAGGGATTTGCTTTACTGTTGGCTCCCCAGCTAACCCTTGATCCCCAGTTACACTTCTGCCTCTTGGTGAACTATGGCTCAGCTGCAGCTGTGCCCTCAGTTCCGGTCCCTCACTTCCTTAGTGCTGTCTGTACTCTATATTCTGCCTCCCATGAAAGCAGTGGGGATTGACTCCTCTCGGTAAGAAGCTTCTTGAGAACAGACACCAGGGCATTCACTGTAAAGTGTGCTCCTTTGTGTGTTTCCAGCAGTGCCAGCCATCGCCCCTATGAGTTGCATTGTTGAATTAACATCTGTTGGTGATCTGTGGGCTATTGTGAACCTCCATAGAGTTCACCTTCAGTGTTTTTTGCCTTGAAGAGTGCATTCATTTTCTCAGCTGCATAAATGACTTGTTGTAGGGGTGTTGGGTTTTGTGCTTGTAGATTGTGTATTTTTGTGAACTTTAAAGTGAACACTTACCAGCCACTTTCACTGACTTTAGAGACTAGTTACAGAAATCAACCCTGTAGATGGGGCTTCCCCGTCTGCAGTTTGTCTTGGCAATGGAACCTCCATGCATGCCAGACAGCAGATAGCCATGGCATTCTTAGGCTATGTGCCATGTAGGTAGGAACTTGAGAAAAGCAGGAATCCTTGTAGCTCTCATCCATCTGCCTTATCTGGGCTCCCAGCAGGGCCTCCTGTGGCAGGCAGGTTTGATCAGGAGCAAATGCCTACTTGGACCAAGGAAGGGTCCGGGAGGGGTAGTAGTACACATACATATTGTAGTTGAATAGTATCATTTTATTGGAGACCATTAAGGAAATGGATGTTCAGTTTTCCTTTTTCAGAAAACAGATATGGCTTTTAAGCCAATTGGAAGAAAATTTGAAAAGGTTCCTTGATAATGTTATTTTATTATTAGAGCTGACCTACACAGGCAACCAAGTTGTTTGCAGGACTGACCCTGGCTTCTTTGTTGTATGGATACCTTTGCAAAATGTTTGGTTTGAGGACACATTCAGAAACCTTGTGTTTGATAATAGGCCCAAGAGTGTGCAAAAGTCTGAGCAAGCAGCATTTACATTTGCTTAATTTAATTTAAAAAATAAGCTACAGTCTAGGCGAAACCAGAGCTAGTAATACCAATGTAGTATGTCTGGCTGCTTTTCTGAGAGCTATTTGTTTAGCTCCCTAGTGAATTTGATAAACTAAGGCCATATTTTTATTTCTAGAGCTGGGAGTTACCAAGCTGGCAGTTTGACCTTTGTTTAGAGCACCAGAAGTTCTGACTATGTGATGAAGAGAAAATGACAGCATTTCTTGCCTATTAAAAACCCAGGACATTCCTTTGCCCTTTGTCCTACAAACAGCAGAGGATGTGGCATTATTTTTAAAAATATGATCAGAATCTACCTGTTGGATGCTCCTCTTTTCTGTGAATCTATATTTTGGTTTATCATTACCTTTGGCATTTGAATTTAAATTCATTGGTGGGGTAGCTTATAAATGCCTTTTCAGAAATGTTTTGAAAATATTTTCAGGAAAAATTTGGACACTGCTAGCATGAGTTAGCATTGCTAACATGGTTGCTTTGTTTTTAGGTGATTGGTGAGGATAATGTGGCAGTCCCCTCGCACCTTTATAAAGTGATCCTGGCTCGCAGAAGCCCGACGTCTGCTGAACCGCTGGCACTAGGGGCCTTCGTGGTGCCCAATGAAGCCATTGGCTTCCAACCCCAGTTAAATGAATTCCAAGTGAGCCTTCAGGATCTGGAAAAGTTGTCAGGACTGGTGTTTTTTCCTCATTTGGATAGAACTAGTGGTATCAGGAATATCTGCTCCGTGGACACCTGTAAGCTCCTGGATTTCCAGGAGTTCACTCTGTACCTGAGCACAAGGAAGATTGAGGGAGCCCGATCAGTACTCAGGCTGGAAAAGATCATGGAACATTTGAAGAATGCAGGGATTGAACCGGATGATTCCTTCATGAGCCGCTATAAGAAGAAGCTAGAAGAACTCCAAGCTAAGGAGCAGGCAGGAACCCTGGAGAGAAACTCATCTTAGTTTTTTTTTTTTTTTTTTTTTTCTCAGAAGATATGTGACAGCATCTGTAATGAAGCAGATGTGTCCTCTTCAGGCTAGTGCATTTTAGTAGCTTTGCTTGCTTAAAAGAAATGATGAACTCCTAAATTTAAGACTAAATTTCGCCCCAAAAAGATGAAAGATCTAAAAGTTTTGTCAGTTTTTTATTTGATGCAAGAATGGATTATTAAGGGAACCGTAGGACCTGCGGATTGGGTGCTGATCTTGTGTCGGGTTCACACAGGACTCTGGACACAAGATGACCTGGTCTTTGTGTCTGTCTGGATGTTAGCGCGGGAAAGCATTTTATTTTCATGCCTCTGAATCATGCACGGTCTTTGATGTATCTGCTCATCTTTCCTGGAGGCCAGTGTCGAATGTTTTCTTTCTCTAGGACCTGAGTTGGTCTTTGAGGTGGAATTTGGATACCCTCTGTGTACTGTCCTGTTACATATTTGTTTCTTGCTCCTTCTCTCATAGAGCTGCTGGTCCTCCATTTGTGTCCTATAGAAGCCTTCAGCTACACTTTCTGCACACGAAGTGTGTTCACTATACCAAGCTCATTGCTTTACAGCGATTCTCCGACATAAATACCACTGCCCTCATTTTACGTGTAAAGAAATTAAGCCTTGGGGAGCTTACATATTTTGTCCAGGGTTCACCTTTCCAAAGAAGTAACCCCAGAAGTAGGAGGCATGTGGGGCTGAGAAGAAAGACAACATGAAATAGATTGAAATAATCCTGACACAGAGGCTTTTGACTCAGAACTGTATTCACATGGGAATCGGTGATCCTGGACCCGTTTGCTAAGAGGGGTCTGGTTTCTTGTCTGCCATCGAGCAAAAGGGTCCTGAATGTCCTCTGACATTGGGAGGCCTCAGCTCTTTGGGAAGAAACAATCACAGGTGTTTGAAAGTTAGAGGGCATTGCTTTGTGGGGTTTATCAGAGCCCCTACTTGCCTCCAGGAATGCAGTTCTTTTTTTTTTTTAATATATTTTTTTAAATTTTATTTATTTATGATAGTCACAGAGAGAGAGAGAGAGAGAGAGGCAGAGACACAGGCAGAGGAGAAGCAGGCTCCATGCACCGGGAGCCCGACGTGGGATTCGATCCCGGGTCTCCAGGATCACCCCTGGGTCAAAGGCAGGCACCAAACCGCTGCGCCACCCAGGGATCCCTCAGGAATGCAGTTCTTTTAGTGACCAGATGGTGCCAAGTTGATATATTCTTTGCTTTTTAAGGTGAGCAATTTGTTCCATAGATTAAGGGACCTAATAAAAGTCTGTGCCCACAGATCCAGGAGCTCATGATTTGCTTCCCTGGGTAGTACGGGGCAGGCAGTGCTTTGAGCCAAATACTCAAAGACAATTCTCACTATTTTTAGGGGAAGCAGTGACTTTTTTTCTGAGCCATGTCTCTGCATTTGGGTTTACATGGAATCCTTTCCCCGGCCTACCATAAGTATAGACAGTGAAATACTTTAAAATAGGGCCCAGGAGCTTGTCTAAATGTACCCTAGCTCTGCTGTCTTTTCAAGTGGTATTACAAGAACAGTTTTTATGGTGTTTTGTGTGTTTGTAACAAATGCCAAGGCTTTAATATAAAGGTAAGATGATAATGATTGACCTTGTTCTCCTTTATTTGGATAAAAAAGAAAAGTTGGGGGGTGAGAACACAGCCTGATTAATACCAGTCTGTTTTATCACACCGATCGCCATTAGCTTATGCCAGTCCTTCTCAGGGATAAAGAGCCAAAATGTCACTGTGTCCAAAAAATATGTTGCGCTCTCTCCTTGTGGGAGGGGTGATGATGGGGCCTGGTGTAGTGTTGTCCCAGAGCCTGAGGGGGCAGCTCTGTGGGAGAAGTCCTCTATCTCCAGAGGTGAGCCCCCCCCCCCCCCCCCCGTCTGGCTCTGTGCCCAGTTCTGGCCTGAATTTCCTTCAGCCTTGGCCTTGCCATGCTCCTCTCACTCCTGTCCCTCCACCTAGATGGTGGAGGATCTTGATTTTTAGGTCAATAAATTGAAGTGCTTTAGGTTTTTAGTATGAAAAGTGCCACTTGGTCATTGTGAAAAATAGAAATCCATGCTTGTAATAAAAAAACAAAACAAACAAAAAAAACGCAGTCTCCCTATCTTCATTTTCACATGGAAGAGTTGTATTGGTATACAAGGAGTGATGCTTGACTTGTCTGAACACTTCCGTTAAGATTCCGTTAAGAGTCCCTCCAGAACAAACTGAAATGTAAATACTCGGCAGAGCTTAGAATTTTCCCCAGGATCAAATCACTTCAGCCTACCCTGGTAGGACTGCTGATATTTGCTCTCGGATGCAGGAGAACCCCAGGCCACTCCCCAGCACCAGGTCTGTCCCCTGATTGAATAAGCTCCTCATTACCCACCTGAACCAGTCAGCCTCCAGTTGGTCCCTCCTTGGGGTCAGCCAAATTCTCAGGCCAGGCTTAGGACTCCCCCTCCTGTCTGGTGATGCTCAGGGAGGATCTTGGCTGAGGAGAAGTCTGCAGCCATCTTTATGGGCTCTGCTGCCAGAAGCTCTATCTGTAGGTGAGGGGCATTCCCTGGTCTCACCCCCAGTGACATCTTTGAGACTCCAGGCTCTCTTTGGTCTCTGGATGAGAATATTTGACCAATGTTACATGCGACAAAGTAGGACTTGTGTGCCAGCCCCTTACTATAGGCTAGCATTGCTGCTTTGCACCTTGACCTTTAAATAACTAAAAACCGCTGCCGCTCCGTTGTGCCTCTGAAGCACCCAGAGGGGAGACATAGTGTGATCTTGAAGGAGCACCCTAGCCTGCAGGGCAGGGCTCAGCCTGGAGCAGCCCCATTCTTGGAATGGCCCTGCCTCATCTGTGTGAAGATGTAATTGTCACATCGGTAGCCCATCCCTGAAACTGTCCCTGCCAAGTCCCTTCACAGCTGCACCCTGTGTGCCCTTAGGTCTTCTGGATACACTCCATCTTCCTCCTTGATCCTTCAGTTCATTCTGCCAGAACTGGTCAGGGGGTTCTCACATCTGGTGTGGAACTCCTACTCCTGCCCGCCTCCACGCCCTGCCTCTCAATCTGGCCTGCCCTCCTGGATGTCATTCATGGAGATTGTCCATCAGGGGACCCTGTGCTGCCTTTTCCAGTCCAGACTCATCTCCAGGACCCACCTGCAGGTCACTAGGGCCATGTGCATGAGCCAAACCTTGATGTGGACCCTTTGGGGGTGTGCAGTGGGGATGTGGTGGATGGACTTGTCTTTTAGTGTTTCTGAACATGCCATTCCTGTCTAGGGGCTGGTCTGCCCCTGAGTGTAGAGCACCTCTAGGGGTCACTGTGGCCTAATGCCACACCACAAGACTCAAGAGTCTGCTTTGACACTGTCCAACACAAAACCTCTTGCTGTGTAAGCCACAGCGGGTGCTGTCAGTCTCCGGCTCTGAGGCCAGATGGAACAGCAGAAGCTGTCTTGTCCAGTGGACCTCGTGTTCGGCTCACCACAGGGGCCTAGGTACCTTAATTTCCCCCTCTAATTTTATTTTGAAAAATATCCTTTTGACAAGTTGAAAGAGTAAAGAATGCCCTCTCCCCTCAATATTTTGTCCCATTTGCTTTCTCTTTTCTTGAACCATTTAAAAGTAATTCATTGGTTTTTTTTTTTAAAAAAAAGCTGTAGATATGACACTTCATTCTTTAATACTTAGGCCTGTATCATCACCTAAAAATAAAAGACATTCCCCTATATTTCCAGAATACTGTTATCACATCTAAGAAAAGTATCAAGAATTCAGTCTTGGGCAGCCCCAGTGGCGCAGCAGTTTAGCGCCGCCTGCAGTCTGGGGTGTGATCCTGGAGTCCTGGGATCGAGTCCCACGTCAGGCTTCCCGTAGGGGGCGTGCTTCTCCCTCTGCCTGTGTCTCTGCCTCTCTCTCTGTGTGTCTCTATGAATAAATAAGCAAAATCTTTAAAAAAAAAAAGAGTCTGCTTCTTGGTTCGACTCTCTCTCTTAAAAAAAAAAAGAATTCAGTCTTAACATTTGCCTAGGATTCCCCCCCCCACCCCAAATCTTACACCTTTTTTTAATATCTAGGTCTCAGCTAAGGTTTGTGGCTTGTATCTTGTTATGTCTAGTCTCTGTTAATCTAGAACTGTCTGCCTGGTAGGCTTCAAAAATACAGATTCTTCAACCCTACCCTTGAAGATTTTGACTCAGTAGGTCAGATGTGCAACTGGAATCTATATTTTTTAAACAGCAACATGTTTAATGAGCCTCCAGGGTTGTGAGCTGGACCATGCCCCACTTTGCTGCCACTGTATGCCAATACACACGTTCCCTAGACAGGAGTCTCCTGGAAAGGTGGGCTTTGAGCTCATGAATATCAAAAGAGAACTTCTTCCATCACTTTGGGCCACCAGGTACCTGATTTCTCTTATTAGGCTTTGTAACATTAAGCTGAAACTTTCCTTCTAACTCACTCGTCAGTGACAGGCTCTAATGGCCATCCCAGGCTACACAGCTGGCTGGCACCTGCTTTCACCTGATAGTCCTTTAGAAATAGGACGCTTGTAAGGACATCAGGGCATCTCAACACTCAGGCATTTATGGATTTCAGACCTGCTGCCATCATGATGTTACGTGGCCTTACGGTGTGGCAGCCGCGTCTGGGGAAACATCAGATGCAGTGATAGCGGTGCTGAATTGAGTGCTCCCTTAATAGGGACACTTCACTTTTCTCACTGTGCTGCTGGTCCATGTGGAACTTGGTCCAGCTGACTGCTCCAGGTCGTTTTCACATGGTCTACTGTCAAGTCACTTTCCCATCATGCACTCACACAGTCAATTTTTGGAACACAAATGTGGAGTTCTGTGTATACCCTACTGTTAAGATTTCATTTTATTATAGTTTCTACCCATCTTAAGTGAGTTCACGTTCTTAATGATCCTGATTTGGCCATCTGACATTGTTAGCTCTGCCTCCCAGTTTTGAGATTGCAAGATTGGATAAACAAGCCTTCAACCTGTCTGTTGGAAACATTGAATGAGACAGAGTCACAGAAGATCCCTTTGGTAAAAAATTCATTTTATATGGCAACCTGCTCCATATACTCACCCAGCAAGATTCATGTGATAATAATGTGCTCTGATACTTTCTAAGTTCAATTCTTTTCTAGTTCTTTTTAAAAAGGGAAACAACACTGAATTGATTGCACAATGCAAAAATAAGTCTCTGTCACAATTTGCTTGTGAGTCACTCCGGGACAGTAAGAGTGCCTACTGTACCTCTGGGTGCACACAGCACGGCTGTATGTAGGGAGGCGCACTTGGGTCCCCATCCCCATCTTCTCACCTACCAACCGGGCAGCCTCCTGCAACTGACCTCATTCAACTTCCTAAAATCAGGCTCCTCATCTGGGAACAGTTTGAGGAGGACTGGCAGGATCGTTTGAGAATTAAGTAAGCTCACATGTCCCTGGGCAAACCCTCAATAGATGGTAGCCAGTTACTATGAATTCCTGTTACTGGCAAAGACAACATTTATGTCCCCCCAAAACCCATACCTTGAAATCTAATCCCTTCCCTCAAAGGTGTGAAGAGTTGGAGCCTTTGGCAGGGGAATGGCTCCACCCTCATGAATGGGATTTGTGCCCCTTGAAAGAGACCCTGGAGAGCTCCTTTGCCACTCTGTCAGCTGAGGACACTGCAGCATGGTTGGCCCAGCCAGAGAGTGAGCTCCTATCGGGCACTGCATCTGCCAGCACCCTGATCTTGGACTCCCCAGCCTCCAGAACTGTGAGAAATACATTTCTGTTGTTTATATACCACCCAGTCTGTGGTATTTGTTATAGCAGCTTGCACTGACCAAGACAGTACCTGATGAAGGCCCTCGTATCCTGAGCAGGTGAAGGACAGGGCCTGATCCTACTACGGTGTTAGGCTCTGGACCAGGTAGAAGCGATTCTGTCTCTCCCCAGTTCTAAGACTTCGAAATATGCTGCTGCCAACCTGTGGATGTGTCACTGCTTTGCAATCCACCATTCAAATAGCTACTCTTCATTCCATTTCACAAGCGAGGAAACAAGCTCCAGGAACATATGACTTAGGAAAGTTTTCTGGCTCTCCATCTAACATTGCCCCTCAGGCCCCCAAGGCTGTTGGAGCTATTTTAATTTGCTCTGTAATTCAGTCATTCATGCATTTACTCAGTCCTGTGAGTCTGCACTAACTTCCTAGAAGCAGACAAATAATGGAGTTGATTCCTTTCTGGGGCCTCCAGAGGGGTTCTGGAAATAGCCCATGCTCAAAAAATGCTTTGGAGTTACCAACAAGTCAGAAAAGTTGAGCTGATCCTGCTCGAGTCCCACTGCTCATTGTCTCTGTCAGGGACCTGGGAAAGGTGGACACTAGGATGTGGCTGCGGGTCAGTCAGCCCCCCAGCAGGACCAGTTAGACCAGATGAGGACCCTAAGACGGCTATGGGGAAGGTGGGAAGGTGGCTCGGAAGAGGCAGGAAGGCAGGAGCACTGGTTTCCTACCAGGGCCTGGTTCTGTGCTTGTGGACCGGCTGATGTGAATAGAGCAGAGCAGGGTCCTGTGTCAGGATAACACCCACATGCTGAGCACTGCTTCTGGCGGAACCGGGGTTCCCAGGGCGCCTTCCCCACAGCATCCTTAGCAGGCTCTGCGGGGCCTGGTGTCCAGTCTGAGGCAGCCGGGCCTGCTGGGAAGACGGGAGCAAGGAGGTGGCCGTCAGAGTTGGAGCAGTGGCTTTTGTGTACTTGGTCCTGGGGAAGCAGAGCTAAAATTAGGTCTTCCAGCTGTGTACAGGTGTGGAATCCCGCCCTTTCCCCTCCCCCAAACCAGGATCTTGGAATCACCACCAATCCCTCCTTCCGTCTCTTAGCTCCCATTCCTCTGGTCACACCAGGCCCAGATGATCTCCAAGGTGGCAAGTGAGGGGACGGTGGCAGGCAGTGGCTTTGGCGTCCCTGGCTGGTCTGGGGCACTATGCAGAACAGATATTTTCCTCTCCTACTGCCACCCATGTGGGGCCCCTGCCTCCTCCGCTGGCCTCCCGCCTCATGGGCTCTGTGCCCCATCTGTGCTCTGCCCCTCTCTGCCCACCGCCTCAGAGGCAGCCTGTCATCCCTTCCATCCCTTGCCGTTCAGACAGGCAGTGGGGCCCAGGGCAGTACGATGTGTGCCCGCTCCCTCTCCCTACATGAGGCCAAAGCTTGAAGAGCATGGCGCTTGCTCCTCATGATGGATGTGCCTCTCAGTCCCAGTCACTGTGCTCTGGGCCCCTGCCTCCCTGGTCCCCGGGATAAGGCTCACACCTGTGCTTGGGTCTCGGCTCAGAGCCTGGCTCTGACTCCAGCGCGTGCGTGCAACATGATTTCAGGTGAGCGCCATCTCCTTAGTCCTGGCTTCCCTACCGGCAGAGTGAGGGAGGGGCTGCGCAGGCTCCCGGGTCCCTCCTGGGCTGCTGTCCTTTCACTGTCGAGGGCCGCGGACTCCTTCGAGAAAGGCAGCCTGCAGGGGTGGCTCGCTGGAGACGGGCTGAGGGAGGCTGGAAGCTGCAGGGGAGAAGTGGGCTGAGGGGCCTCTGAGGAGGTGTGAATGAGG